GAGAGCAGCAGCACCGCCAATCATGACTTGTATGTCATGGTTTGACTTGAATGTGGACATCAAGACGGCGTTGAAGCCATTCACGTACTCATATCCGAGGTGACGAGCAATACAGACGCCTTCTGCCGTGCAGGTCGATCGTTCGACGCGCGGACGCGGAAATCCGTACCGGCATGTACCTGATGCAGCAGAGCGACTGTTCTTGAAACAGCTTCCAACGTGCGACCACCAATGCATGTTGAGGAGGTACACCAGCACAGAGACAGCAAAAGCCAGAACGGGGGACGGCCAACGAGCGTCGTCAAAAGACGGCGGCAGTGTTAACACCGCTCGAGTGACCGAGTCAATGCGGAACAAGTCATCTTGAAAGCGCTCGCTGCGCTGTGTCGGACGGTTCAGCGACCGAAGGTGGTTCCTTCACTATCGGAATCATTTTCGCGGCCCTCCAAGTAGCAGTCGCGAAAGAAGATTGCATTTTTCGCAGCGTTTGTCGAGCCTCGGCAAAGCGCTTCACGATCCGTCGCCAGCTTCAGCTCGTTGGTCGAGTGTTCTCGCCGCGGCGGTGGCCAAAGTGGTGGTCGATGGCCGAGAACCACGCGGCGCAAAACGTGCTGGGAGCTCGCCTTGCGGCCACAGTGACCACATTGAACCAGCAACGGCTCCATTGACTGCCCGTCTTGTCGGTGGTTTGGACTTGTGTAGGCTTGAATTGGGATCGGCAGCTCCTTCAAACGCGCGTACGACTCGCCACAAAACTGGCAGTGTGAGTCAGCAATATTCAGCGGAAGTAACGTCGTCACGACACTGTCTGTATACTCCTCAAGGTTGCGGTAGTACTGCTCGCCATGTGTCTGGACAGCGCGGTCAAACGCTGCTGAATTTGGAGGCGCATCTACCAACCAAATGAGGAAGTGGGCATGCAGTGTTCCGCCGCCCTGCGTTTCGACCATGCCGAAGTATGCTTCAATCTTTCCAAAAAGCCCGTCGAACGGCTTACCTTTCATGTCATCAGGATTCACGCCAAGAACATGTTCAATGAAAGCGTCCATGTTGCGCATGAACAACCGTGCACTCACAACATCATTCTTCAAGCTTGCACTCTGCATTACCGACTTGCCAGGCGCTCCCACAAGTTCAGCATCGAAGAGCGTGTCGACCGAAGACACGCCGGTGTACTGAGCCATCACGAATGACTCGGCCACATTGGGCGTCAGTGTAACGAAGAGCGCCGGCTGACCATAGCGTGCCTGGTAAGCGAAAGCTCGTCGACGGCACTGCGCACGCTCGGCACCACTACCCCAGATCGTTCCTCCGCTGATATCGACTGAGTGCAGCAGTCTCTCTGCAATCGACTGCTCGCCACGAGACGCACGCGTTTGACCTTGTCGGTAAAACTCTTTCTGCTTGAGCGCCTGCGCCAAGTCCGCCTCCGACATGTCACTGAAAGGCTCGAAAAGTGCGGGGTTCCGTTTGCACTTGAGCGCCACTTGAGTGTACATTTTCTTTAACGATATGTGGTCGAAGGCAACTAGCATGAACAGTTCGTCTTCAGCAAACCGCCGTGAGCTCAGCATACCATAGTGACGAATGCAAGCTTCAAGTGATACTGGAACGGGCCGCGTCTCGCCTGGGTGACCGCGGCCGTATGGAAAAAGGTGGGGGAACATCTGAGCAAAAAGCTCTTTACGGCTCGAGGAAAACCGGCTAGAGTGACGAACTAAGAATTGCGGAGCTGACGAAGTCTCGTTCAAGAACTCAACAGCCGTATGTGCACACTCAGCTGAACCTGTGCGGTCGTCGGTGGCCGAACACTCACTCCAAGTAGCGACCTCACGATCTTCAGACACGAACACCACGCGCCGCTCCGCCACTTCATCCTCGGCGACAGTAGACTCGCTGGCGAAGACGCCCCCAACGCGGCTGCCTTCTACATCAACGTCTTCTGCCTCGATTGCAGCGTCTGGCTCTTCACTCAACATATCAACTGGAACTTCGTCTTCGGCTAGCTGTGAGCAATCGACAGCTATGTGCTCGTAGAGCGAGTTATGGATACGATAAAACCGCAGCAGGTCCTCGACCATTGTTCGTCGCACGCGATGCATCTTTCGTACACGAGCTTGTTGGATGGTAGTGAATGGCCCCGCCATGACGACACGATACGAAGTCACGCCGCGCATTGTCGTCGGCAACAACATCGCTTGTGGTCCCGGCGTCGCGTCAAACGTAAGACAATGAGAACGAATCGCGCGATGTGCACCTCCACGCATGACCCTGGTGACGGCCATTACAGAGACGAGCTGAGTCATCACACGTTCGGGTAACGTCGCCTGCTGCAGATTGGTCGGCAGTGAACTGATGCAAAACCCGTTCTTGATTGCAAACTTTGGAATCTCCCGCTTTTTCAAGCTATCATCGCACAGATTACAAACGTGAAGACTACGGCCCGCTTGATCAACTCCACGCTTAGAAAGCAGGATGCCCTCGAGCTCAGGGAGCATACTTGAACAATCATACTCACTCACGAGAGGTGGAATGAGATTTTCGTCTCGACTGCTCAAAAGCGTTTGAATGTCATTCATTTGAACAAACTCTGAGACGACAACGGTGTGGCAGTGTGTACGTAGAACCCATGTATCGCACACTGCGCACACTGTCTCATCCAATCCCGACGCGCCCAACGCTCCACGCAGTCGCTCTAATAAGCTTTCCTGAGTCACTGAAGACACCGGTCGTAGTTGCGGAACGTCGCGGTCTCCCCATGCAGGTGTTGAAGGCACGTCAAGTTCATTTACAACAACGGTTGCAGGTTCTGATCTTTGCCGAAGTGCTGGCATTGACGTCGAAGGTGCAGTCGAACGTTGCCGCCTCTCACGACGCCGTATACGCTCTTGTTGTCGATGCCTTTCGCGATCTTCTGGTGTTCGTCGACAACGATATCGACGCGCAGCTTCGGCATTTCGGCGACGCCGTTCCACCATCTTCGGATCCACGGTTTTGTTGCTGAGATCTCTACGGTTGCTCATGCTGTTTGCTGCAAAGCGAGAACTTGAACACTGTGTTTAAACAGAGTTATCTCGTCTCACACATACGACAAATATGAAATCAAACTAGGGACACGACGTGTTCATGTTGAATTCATTATTACACCGCGCAGTCATGACACTTTATTAACAAGCGAGAACTCTACGACGACGAGTGCCTTGCGTTGTAGATAGATGTTATGAGTGATAATTTCGACCGACCTAAATGCTCTATTGATAACTGACTTGTCCATTCAAGCTACGTACACAGCTGACAACCCTGAAAATGTCAAGAACAACGCAATGATCAACTCACTATCTACCTTGACTTTCAAGCTAAGAACCTGGTCCCACCACCAACAAATCCACCTTGTCCCTAAATGCGCTATCGATAACTGACTTGTCCATTCAAGCTACGTACACGAATGACAGTTTCAACGCAATGATCAACTTCAGTATCTTGACCAACCATTAGCGACTGCTGCTGTGGTGGGACCAGACTCACACTTTTAAGTACGAACAAAGCCACCTAGTCCCAACTTGCACAGCACTCCTGATGGAACATTTAACCAAACCTCCACGACAAAGCGTTCTTTACGCTGTAGATACGACCGGCCTAAATGCGGGGTCGATCAATGACTCGTCCATTCAAGCTACGTACACGGCTGACAGCTCCTGAAAATGTCAAGAACAACGCAATGATCAACCTCACTATCTACCTTGACCTTTAAGCTATGAATCTGGTTCCACCACCACAACAGCAATGATC